TGCTGCAGATTGGTGGAAATGCAGCAAATGATGGATGGCTGATTATATAGTGTGTCCTTTCAAGAGCTGTGTAAATGGATCAGGAATGTACATGTACATATTTGTAATGCCGAATATTATACCAAAAGGACTGCTATAAGCGCTGGGGTTCAGATCAAAGAAAGGGTAGTGTTCAAAGACTTCACTGAAGGTGCGTGAATAAAATGTAAGGAGAATTGTGTGTGAAAGAGGAATCAGAACTGTAGAGAAAAGAAAAGCAGGAGAAACAATGCCCAAGGAAAACTGCCCCACTTTAGATACTTTTATCATTTTTGTTGAAAGATTTTACCTAATTAAAAGATAACCAAGAACAAATTATAAAAAGTGGAGAATGTAGAAGAGAAAGAAACAGAAGAGAAGAAAATTTAAAGCCCCTTCCAATCTTCATTACAACAATTACAAATTTTTATCTTCTCCCACCCTTTGCTGTTTCTCCTTATACATATTTAAACCCCTTTAACTAGCAAACTCCAAAATCTCCAGTTTATTTGTGTCCATTTTCAGCAAAACATCTGTAAAAGGTTTCCAGTCTTTTATAAAAAAAATACTTATGGACTTTAAACAGGATATATTCTAAATGGGAAGAGAGGGGCTTCTGGAACCTAAGAGCTAGGATCTGGGAAACACCAGGATACAGAATTTACTGTCTATCTTCTATTCTTTCATTTTTTTTTCTTTTTCCTAAGGGATATTTTCCCTTTATCCAAATGGACTATCCCCTGTCTTTTAAAATAAAAAATGTTTTTTTAAGATGATAAGTCAACAGATTCCTATTAAAAATAGTATCTCTAAATTCTGCTCGATTTATTTTGAATAAATATGCATAGAATTGCAGGTACGGTAAATGTAAAACTTGCACTGAGCTGGGATAATAAAGATTCCATTTCATTGCAGAGAAGGACCTCCTAATTATTTATAGCCTGAGACTTGGAGAGGTTTAATATTAAGACATTTTGGTTTCAGGGATAAAGCTTAACCCAGTGGTTCCCATTTTGAAGAGAACCTTCATGTTAACATAATTTAGGTGTCTTCTAGGGTCAATAGGAGATTCCTCAAATAACCACTGACATGGAAATGTGTGAGGAAAATAAATGAGAGGGAGATAGACCTATAGAGGTTTTTGATACCTGTACTCAAACATTCTGTGCATATTAGACTTCGTTCTTGCCTGCATCAAAGAGATTTATTTGGTCAAGGTTTGTCTGTGAGTCTTCTGTTGAGTAAGTGAGTCCCTGAATAAAGGGTTAAGTGTCCAGAAACTGGAGGTTTTTAGTTGTATCCCTGTGAAGTGTGACATTCTCTTTGTTTACAGATTTTAAAGTCTGCGTAAATAAAAAACACATTGTGCAGATTACAACAGTTTAAAAAAATGAATAATAATGTTAATCCTTCCCTCAATACTGCTTAACTGAGTTTGAAGCTCAGTGAATTTAAACTGCCGTCCGTAATCTTGTAAATGCCACAGTGTAGGGTGCTGTAATTCACAATTACATCCGCAAATAGCATGTTGCTAAATGGAAGCAAAGTGTAGAGGTGGAATGGCATGTGTATGGGTTAGCAGCAGGGAGAGAAAAAGCCGAGGAGTTTGTTTAGTAAATTGTTGTGTGAGTGAAAAAAGGGCATGAAATTGTCTTGAACGAAAGGGGATTTGGAAGAAGCTACAATCAGATGAAATAGGCAAGATTGAGGCATTTAGAATAACAGAAGGGGATTGTTAAATGCATCAAGAAAAAAAAGGAAAATAATCCCAATGTACAGTACATTAAAAAATTCAAATAGAATAAAAAAATAAAACAGAATATATATTGGAAAGCCCTATCCATATTTTGTTTAGTCTGCTTGGAGAATTTCTTCTTTAGATTGAGAAAATCGGCATTCCTTATAGCCAACACTGAATAATAGAACCCAGCCTGGCAGAGAACTAAGAAAATACTGAACAGTCTTCAGTACTGTTTAATACTTTAAGTCGAGGTAGATCTCGACTTAAAACCACAATTGAGTCCAAAATTTCCAGTGCTAAGTGAAATAGTTGCTAAGTGAGTTTTGCCTCATTTTTTTTTTAAAATAAAGTTTTATTTGGGTTTTCACACACAAAATACAAGTAAAACGTCTTTTTTGAAAATAGGATGGTCCCGGGTTGAACTTCTTTATACAGACACAAAACTCAATTTCATGCTCCTTTTTGTATTCTGTTCCATATCTTATACTATTTTACATTTTCTATATAGTTTTTCCCCTCTTTTAATTTTCTCAATTTTATTTTGATTATCTCATCTCAATTCAAATCACTATATTTATACTTTTGTCTGTTCTGTTTCAATTTCATATTATCTTTTCTCATTAAACGAATTTTCTCCTGTAGTTACTAATTGGACTATGACACATTTATATCTTTTAATTACATCCATTCAACTCTTGTTTAAACTTCAATATATACCTTAAGTTTATGACCTTCAATATAATACATAATACATAACTTCCAATCGAATTCTGCTTGGCACATTCTTATAATACTATATTCTTTTTTTAAAAAAAGAAAGATTGTAAATATATGTAATTATAAACCCTCATTCCATTCCAGTTCATTTCTATCATTAATAATCATTAAAACCATAACATCTGTAACACTTCTTTTCAATTAAATATCATACTTCCTTAAAAACTTATAATCTCCATAATTAATTTTTCCCCTATTTCTCTTCACATATGTTTTATAAATCATTAAATATACCTTTTGTTACATTTATTTATTGACAAGCATTCCACCGAATTACGATAGCTATTTTATCAGACATTTTAATCATACATTGTTTCATATTTTCTAAAAATATTTCTGCTTCTAATATAACCATACTATCTTTTGTACCTTTGCAGAAGACCCTGTTTCTCTATATTTTGCTTCTGTCCTTTATAACTTCTTTTCCTTTCTTTCTTCCTTCTCATCTTCTCCCTCCCCTTTTTACCCCGTTGTCTCTCTAGTTCTAATTCTCTCTTCTGCATTTCCCTCTTCTTTTGCTTTCTGATTTTATACTTATTTTTCACTCTATTTTTTTTTGGAGTTGTTTTTCCCAATCTTAAACTTTCCATTCTCTTTCTCCCTGTTCCTTTCTTTCCCCCATCTAAGATTACTTGTTCATTAAAGATGGCTTCTTCTTTGTCGCAATCTTCTTGTTCTGCAGGCATTTCTTGTTGTTTCTCATAATTCCAAATCTCCATTTCTAAAAACTGAAATACGAAGCCAAAAGAACCTCTCCCTTCTTGTGCATCTTCTTTGTACTTTTTAAGTTCCATTTTCAGTTCTTCTAAAAGTGGAGCCATTTTAAAAAGTTTTAAACAACCACCCGATCGATTTTAGTCATTCAAAACAATAACCAAGAATCCAGAAATCATCAAGTAATCCAGATAGTCCCGAGTTATATCTTCTTATTTCTTTTTCGACTTTCTGTTCCTGGGGTTTTTGTTGTGGTATTTCAGTTAGAATGTATCTTTTGGAAGTCTTGTTGAGATTTTGCTGTAAGTTCTTTTTTAATTCCAGGCAGTCTCCTCCCTTCCAGATCGTGCCCTTTTATTCTTCCTCTCTCCTTTCCTGTTTTCAAAAGCTTTTAATTATCCAGAAATCTTTATTATATCCCTTTGACTTTTTATTTTCAGCATTAAATGCCTATTGATGTCAAAGTGGATTTTTTTCCAATTTCTTGCTTAAGTCTCTTAGCTGTCAGTATAGGAAAAGGAGAAAACCAAATCTTTTCCCTTTTCTCTCTCCTTCACAGCTTCAAAATCTTCTTTGGGAACAATGTTGTTAAGTTTAAATTCCAGGGTACCTTATTTGTTGCTTTTGCTGTTTGACCCGGTCAACTAAAATTTTCTCTTCTTATCTTCCTCCTGCACATTCTTTTCTGGTTGAGTTCTTCTTTGTGGTGGCCATTTCTGACCACCGCTACAACTGCCTTCAGGAAAGGGAGTAATGGCCAGCTGGGGAGGAGAGATGCGGCTCTCCTTGACCCTGCTGGCGGTCTCCCCCCTCTTCACCACCTCTATGGGGTGGCTTAGCCCTGAAACCAGCCGGCTTGGGGCGCTCCAGTGGTGAGCACGGATCGAAGCCTCACAGAGATGAGGTTTCGGTCTGTCGCTGAAGAAGCTCAAACCGGAAGTCGGGTTTTGCCTCATTTTATGACCTTTCTTGCCACCATTGTTAAGGGAATAATTCACTTGTTAAATTAGTAACATGATTGTAAAGTGAATCTGGCCTCCCCATTGAGGTTGCTTGTCAGAAATTCACAAGAGAGGATCACGTGACCCCGGGACACTAACTGTCATAAATATGAGTCAGTTGCCAAGCTTCTGAATTCATGGGGATGCTGCACCAGTCATAAGTGTGAAAAACAGTCACAATGGTTGTAAATCCAGAACTACCTGTACAAGTAGTACCAATTTTACAACAGTTCGCTTAGTGACTGTTTGAAGATACAACGGCACTGAAAAAAGTGACTTTAAGACCATTTTTCACACTTACGACTGCTGCAGCATCCCCATGGTCATGTGATTTACATTCAGATGCTTGACAATTGACTCACATTTATGCCGGTTGCAATATCCCGGGGTCATGTGATCCCCTTTTGCGACCTTCTGACAAGAAAAAACAATGGGGAAGCCAAATTCACTTTACGACCGTGTTACTAACTTCACTGAATGATTCCCTTAACAATGGCAAGAAAGGTCGTAAAATGGGACAAAACTCACTTAACAAATTCCTCAGTTAGCAACAGAAATTCTGGCTCAATTGTGGTCTACCTGTATATAAATTTGGGAAATTGTGCCAGCCAGGTGATTTTCCTACAAATCATTCTAAAACAGCCTTCGGGCTTCACCAGCAAATAGTAGGAATGACCGTGCTGCCTCACTCCGTTGCATACCGTGGCGTATTACGTAGATCTGATGTCTCTCACCTTCTTTTCCCTTAGAGCACACCTTGTTGACCTCCAGAAAAAACTGGAAGAACTGGAGCTGGATGAGCAGCAGAAGAAACGGCTGGAAGCTTTTCTCACCCAGAAGGCCAAAGTGGGAGAACTGAAAGACGACGATTTCAAGAGGATTTCAGAACTGGGAGCTGGCAATGGTGGGGTGGTCACCAAAGTACAACATAAACCCTCAGGGCTAATTATGGCACGGAAGGTGAGACCGGGTAAGGGGGAGAAAAGGACCGCTCGTTTTCAGAGCATGGGCTTGGGCACACAATCAGAGCAATGAACCGGTCAAGTGATGGGACTGCAAATTGCAACTTTTGAGTTGAGCTTTCAAAAAATGTGCAGTATATGGCCATTGGGGCTGGGATTCCCATTACTAAGCGGTGTGGTTCTAAAGCCATCCCAGGTGATCTCATTAACTAAATCTCACAGTTGTTAGAAGAGGCAACTTCCTGCTGGCTTCTCACAGAGTTAGGGGAAAAGCTAGCAGGAAGTTGCAAATTCCAGGCATGCATGGGTCTGGGAGCAGATATGGGAGACCCAGTGAGAGAAAGTGCATTGACCAGCACAGAATAAGCACAGAGCAGCCTGGGGTGGGGTGGGTTATGCGGGGTGAATGGAGACCTACCCCCGCAAACTTGCAATGTTTCCTACTGGCTTTCCCATTTCCTCTCTTGGGGGAAATGGCGATCATGTGACCATGGGGCGCTTGTGACCAGTGCAAACCAATTGCCAGGCATCCGGATAGCAAACTTGAAACTGCAGGAAGGCTGGGGCAGTTAGAACCCCAAGGACTAATTCAGTGATTTTGTAGCTTTGAACAGTTGCTGAACTGTCATAGGTCAAGGACTACCCTGTTTCCCCGAAAATACAACCTACCTTGAAAGTAAGTCCTAGCTTGATTTTTACACGTGTGCCAATGTAAGCCCTACCCCCCCCCCAAAAAAATAAGCCCTAATTAAGATCCCACCCACTCCAGAGTGCAAGGGTAAAAATTAAGCTAGGGTGGGGGTGGGGGTGGGGTGGACCTGCCCTACTACTTACCTTTGGACAGTTGAAGCCAGACCTGGCACACCCCAATACCTGCCTTGCTGGCCCATTTCTTCTGCAGCCAGCAAGGCTGGCAAGGCTTTCCTGAAGGACTCTGTAGCTGGATCGATCCAGAGGCTGTTATTGGCTGCAAAGGCCTACAGGAAAGCTTTGCCGGCTGCAGAAGAAGTTCCTAAAGGCCTCTGACCACGAAAAAGAGGCTTGGGATGACACGTGCAAGTGAGGTTAGTCAGTGGATAACTTCCCCTGAAAATAAGACCTGGTGCCCTTTTTCGGTGGCAAAAAAATTATAAGATAGGGTTTTATTTTGGGGAAACACGGTATTTTTAGACTCCTTGACAGTTTTCATATAGGGCAGCCAATCTCAGAAAAACAAAAAACCTTGCAAAAATGCATGACTGGAAACCCAAAACTGAAAAAAAAAGCCAAGCACCCAATCACCATCCAAAGGGGCTTAACCCCAATCATGCCAAAGGAAAAGGGGAACAACCGGGTCTTTAAGCAAGTTGTGCGAAGTTAGAAGGAGGGGTTCTGTGCAAATTCTCCAGGGTGATATAATTGATGCTGCAATAGTTGTAACTGTGGAAAATGGTCATAAGTCGCTTTTTTCAGTTCCACTGTAACTTCGAACAGTCACTAAACGAATGATTGTAAGTGGAGGACTACCTGTAATCTGGAACTTGACTCCTGATTAATGAAGTGGATCGATACAGGAAGTCCTTGACTTATGACCACAATTGGGCCCAACATTTCTGTTGTGAAGTGAGACATTTGTGAAGTGAGTTTTGCCCCATTTTTTGACCTTTCTTGCCACAGTTGTTAAGTGAATCACTGCACTTGTTAAAGATAACACAGTTAAGTGAATCTGGCTTCCCCATGGACTTCGTTTGTCAGCAAAAGGGGCTCACATGACCCCTGCGGGGTTGATAAGTTAGTGACATGGTTGTTAAGTGAATCTGGCTTCCCCACTGATTTTTTTTTTTGTCAAAGGTTACAAAAGGTGATCCCATGACCTTGGGACACAGCAGCGTTCACAAGTTTGAGTCAGTTGCCAAGCACCTGAATTTTGATTGCATGATCATGGGAATGCTACAAAGGTCATAAGTGCAACAAATGGATCTAAGTCACTTTTTTTAATGCCGTTGTAACTTCAAAACGGTCACTAAATGAACTGTTAACTTGTATTAAAATATTGCAACACTTAGAGCCTCATCACTACGAATGTGAGGTCCTTGTTTTAAATCCAGTTTCCTGGATTATCCTAGACAATAGTTCTAGTTCCCTAGATTTCTCCTCGTATCTACAGAATTTTATTTAAGGATTTGCTTCACCCTTTGCTAGAGACGACTTCATTTGATGACGAAAGGTTGTGGCTTTCTTGGCAACTTTAGAGTGTCTTTTTTCCCCTCCTTTACTAATCTTTTCTGCTATTCTGACATATCCTGGCAGTTCCCCACCCAGGTTCAATCCCATTTAGCTTTTCACAATCAGGCATCACTTCCCAGTTGTTATCTGGATCTGGATCTGACCCTGCTAGCCTTTCATAAAACTCTGAAGATCTGACTATTTCCACGGGAATTTGGGTCAGGAGGCTAGGCGAGCCTTACTGATGATGTGGCCCTATGATTAAGGTGTCATGTATTCTTATTTTTAATTGCTGGTTTTAATATTTGTACGCTGCCTAGAGTCACTAACCCGAGGTGGGCAGCTGTGTAAATTTATTTAAATAATCTTTTTCGGCACAAGATTCCATTCTTACTGATACTGCATTGATGCCTACTTAAACAAAGGCAAATGTGAAATTCCTTTGGCTTCTAACTACAGGTATTTCTCAACTTACAAACATTCATTTAGTGACCAAGCAAAATTAGAATGGCAATTTAAATAAGTGTCTTACAATTAGTTCTCACGCTTATGACCATCGCAGCATCCTCATAGTCACCTGATCAAAATTTGGATGCTTGACAACTGGCACGGGTTTATAACAGTTGCAACATCTTGGGTCATGTGATCGGAAAAGTCTTTTAAGTTTGCTTAATGACCACATGGTTCACTTAACAATTACCGTGATTCATTTAACAATTGTGGCACATAAGTTGTCAAATCAGGCGTAATTCACCTTTATTCGCACCTCAGATTCTGGTCCCAATTGTGGTTGTGAGTGGAGGACTGCCAGTAGTGGCTTTCAGTCCATGTCCCACCCATAATTGTAAAAAAAATAATAGATACCTCTTCTTTGAGATGGTGGAAAGTATTTAGATGGACTTCTCTTGTCTCTGAAGCACTGTGATAAGAGAAGCTGAAATTCGTCTCTAATTTTGGCCATGGTTTTCTGATTTGGCTTATGTGACCTGTTCTCATGTGAGCGAGAAGAAAGATCAAAGAGAAAAAGACAGGAAGGAGAACTAATAGGGGCCTAGCGGCCTCTTTTTAAAAATTTTGGTGCTTCTATCTTCTACTTTAATGGAAGAGAAAGTTTGATGATTGGTGGGATGGATATTACCGTATAGTCAGAGCTATGGTCAGTAGTAATTATGGCTGTGAGAGTTGGACCATAAGGAAGGTTGAGCACCAAAGAATTGACGCTTTTGAATTGTGGTGCTGGAGAAGATTCTTGAGAGCCCCTTGGACTGCGAGGAGATCCAGTCGGTCAGTCTTAAAGGAAATCAACCCTGACTGTTCTTTGGAAGCTGGAGCTCAAATACTTTGTCTATGGAGATTCTCCGTCCTCCAGGTCATGGCTGTCCCAAGGGTGCTTTTTCAAGAGGCAACTGGACTTTCTGGTTTTTCTCGGAAGACATTTTGCTTCTTATCCAAGAAGCTGAAGCGAAATGTCTTCCAAGAAAAAAACAGAAATTGCCTTTTGCAAAAGCATCTTCCGGACAGCGTTGGGAAAGACCGAATGCAAAAGTAGAAGGGGATGGTTAGTGTCATCGACCCAATGAACATGAGTCCAGGAGGCAACGGAGTGCAGAGGAACCTGGTGTGCTGTGCCCCTTGGGACCGCAAAGAGTCAGACACAGCAACAGCAATAACGAAGGGTGGATATCTCGTACCTTCTTCCTATGGAAGATAACGCTAGCAGGTTGGGCGGGTGATGGGTTTGCTCTCCTTTGCAAAATTATACATCTGGTACGGAAAGAACATTGGTGCAGCATAAGGCTTCAACTCTTCCGTGAACCCTCTTCCATAAATTGGTTTCGGTGTTCCATTCCTGAGCCGTGCAAGCGTTCCTATGGTGACTGCTTCCTTCCCACTTTTCTTCTGCTGTTGCTTTTCTTTTTTTTTTTCTTTTTCTTTTTGCACTGCTAAGTAGGTTATACTGCATGCCTTCCCGGGTGCAGAATCATTAGCAAATGTAGAGCTATAATTGCAGTCCCATAGCTCTCGGTTATCGAGCAAGGGTGTCTGCCAATAGCTTTTAAAAGGCCAGAAGCTCATCTCTGGGCCTGACTGGGCAATCGTAACACAATACAACCTGGTCTCTTAGGTGAATGAATTGTGTATTGCAAAACCCTATTTCAAAACTTGCGTCTTTTTATTTTTACGCATATTCCTGTTTCTAGGATTTTAAAGTGTTTTTTTTTTAAAAAAAAAATTGATTTATTTCACTGTTGGGTGACCTGCCTCGATGTATGGACAATGGCTGAAATACAATGGATTTTAAAAAATGAAAGTATAAGTTTATAAGGAAATATATTTCTTATAATTAATAGAAATTGCCCAGATGGTCACCAGAACATTAAATTCTGTTTAAATTGCAAAATGTGTTTCTCAGTTGCAAAAATGACTTGCAGGAAACAGTCAAATTCTAAGGGCTTATTTTAGTCTGATCTTTTGAATTCCATAATGTTAAAAAATGGAAGATTTTTTAAAAAAATCTTTAAGCAAGCTGGAGAAATGCAAAATGAAACATTGAATCAGTATCAGTGTTTTGGAATCCCAGTATAGATTTAAATAAGCCTAATCTATAGTAAAATCAGAAGCTGCTTTTTCGTGTGCAAATAGAGAATGCCAAATCTTGCAGTCTATCCATACTTTTTTTCTGGCTGTCCTCTATACACCATTCAAACGCTTTTGTCTGTTTGTAACCTTCATTTAGCCAAAACGGTGCATGATATGACAACAGTTTTTGAATCAATGTACCTCAAATGTACTAACTTAAAGAATACGTACAAAGAATGTGAGACTCATGATTTCTGTGGAATTGAAATTTCAAGGATCTCCAGATCACAGTTATACTCACAAACTTGTTGCCACTGCAGTGCCACCTTGCTCAACTGCATTCACGTGGTTGTGTTCTCCAATGCTTCCTGCCAACTTCTCACAGTCAGTGGGGAAGCCAGCAGAAAGTCAGAGATTGTTCTCTTCTCTTGTTTTTTTTGCTTGCCCTGAGTCATTCTGTTGATCTCTTTAGTTAAATGAATATTTATAAAAGGATGGCCCAGTGAGTCATAAGCAGTCTATTCCCTTTCAAAATGTATTAATAGTCTAATCATCAAGGCTGTTGATTAATTTAAGAAAGGTTTGTAGTGACTAATGACTAATAACAGTATTTTGTCAGTAGCAACTGAGCCTTCTAATACTGGTTTATTTGCATGGGACTATTTCATAATAAACTGCGCTCATCAAGCTAATGTAGGACTCTTCCCAGTTAGAGGCATGGTGGCTCGGGCTTAAAAGATGCCGGAGAAGCTCTGTGCTCTGGCGGTTCAAGTCCTACCACCGTGGGATGGAGTGAGCTCCCGTCCCTTGCCTCAGCTCTTGTTCACCTAGCAGTTTGAAAGTGTGTAAATGTGAGTAGATAAATAGGTACCACTTCGCTGGAAAGGCAACAGTGCTCCTCCGTATTTTGCTGCATGCTCTGTGCTGTGGCGTCAAACTGGCTACGTGACCACAGAAACATTTTCAGACAGCACTGGCTCTCAGTGGCCTAGAAAAAGAGACCAGCGGAGTAAAACCCGCAGGGACACCGTTATCTTTACCCACTGTGAAATCTCAAATGACAAACTATCTGTGGCACATCTTCAGATTCGGCCTTTTAAAAAAAAGCGGAACATGCCATTATATTAACAGCATTACATTACAACTTTTAATTTCTGTTAGCAAAGCATTTTAAAACAGCAGTGATTTTTTTTTCCCCTCCAGGAAAGACGTACGGGCTTGACTGAGTCACATCCAGCCGTTTCCCCCTAACTACCTTTCCCTATGAGTAATAAGGGTAGAACCTGTGCCTGCTGTTTATTGGTTAATGTAGAGCTTCAATGGCCTGGAAGAATAATAATTAAAAATGAAACAATTTAGCACAAGTAAAATAGTTTCATGTTTAAGCTACTGCCCCATAATGCTATAAATTAAAAACATAAAATACTTTCAAGCTGGAATGGTACGGTTTGGAAAAGTTTTCTCAAAGGATACCAGAATTCCCAACTGGGTTATTTACTGTTCAACTGATTCCCAACTGAGTTAAGCTTTTGTCTAATTAAATCCCAGTGGTGAGATTCAAATTTTTTTACGACCGGTTCTGTGGGCGTGGCTTGGTGGGTGTGGTGTGGCTTGGTGGGCATGGCAGGGGAAGGAGACTGCAAAATCCCTCTTCCCTCCCCACCCCTCTAACCTGCTTTCCAGCTCCGTTCTCCTGTGCAGGGCAACCAAAGAAGACTCAGCCGATCAGCTGGGACTCAATGGGAGGCGGAGAATAGATGGGGATGGCGGGGCCAGTCAGAGGCGGGATTTGCCGGTTCTCTGAACTACTCAAAATTTCCGCTACTGGTTCTCCAGAACTGGTCAGAACCTGCTGCATACCCACCTCTGATCTAGTCCATATATATCTGGGAGGCTGAGATGTGCAGAGGCCGTACCAGTGCTGGTCTAGGAACTAGGCGACTGTGAGTTAGATACCAGTCCTCCCTACCATGCCTAAGATGGGCACAATTGTTTCTGGAGCTGTTCTGCGCTGTCTCCATCCTTTGATGTGTGTGTGTCTTTCTCTCTTATTCCCTCCACAGCTGATTCACTTGGAGATCAAGCCTGCCATACGAAACCAGATCATTCGCGAGCTCCAAGTGCTTCACGAGTGCAATTCTCCGTACATCGTCGGTTTCTATGGCGCCTTCTACAGCGATGGGGAGATCAGCATTTGCATGGAGCATATGGTGAGGGCTTATTCCCTGTGCAGAACAGGACTGATTCAGCATCAAAGGTTCGAAGGGAGCTTGCTTACCAAAGCGTCGGTGACGGGGAGTCAATCCACTTGTGGCCCCAACTGAGCCCAGAATTTCCATTGCTAGGCCAAACGTTTGTTCAGTGAATTTTGCCCCATTTTAACCACTTTTTTCTTGCTGCTGTTGCTAAGTGAATCACAGCCGTTAGTAAATTAGTAGTTCCGTGAAACTGGTTTCCCCATTGGCTTTGCTTATCAGAAGGTCACAATCGGGGATCGCGTGATACCCCGGGGCCACTGCAACCGTCATAAAAATGCAAACTCAGTTGCCAAGCATCTGAATTTTGATCACGTGACCACGGGAATGCTGCGGTGGCCATTAGTGTGAAAAACGGTCATGAGTCACTTTTTCAGTGACTTTCTAACTTTGAACGGTCATTAAATGAACTGTTGTAAGTAGATGACTACCTGCAGTATTCTAAAAGTTTCTTCTCTGCTTTTTGTGGCATCAATTGCAGGTCTCTATTACCAATAACGACCCACTTTTTTCCACAGTATGAGGAGAATTCTTGATTTATTGGGATTATTGGCTAATCTTCCTGATTTTTGCTACCAGATTGCTTCAGATACTGGCTTATCAGAAGAACAAGCCAAAAATCCACTCCAGATGTAACATAAAAGCAAGCAGACTATGAACTGAGATACTATATTTTACTTAACCTTCCCATATTTAATCCCGATAAGAGATCAAATAATTGAATATTACCAAGATAGTCGGTTTATTTGCTGATGGCTGCTTAATTGTTTCCTACTTTGGGAAATATTAGTAGCCAGTGGAAATCCCAGCCAAGATGATATTTATCCCCTTAAAATGTATATTTATGTATTTAGATTTAGAATTAGAATTCTTTTATTGGCCAAGTGTGATTGGACACACAAGGAATTTGTCTTGGTGCAAATGCTCTCAGTGTACATAAAAGAAAAGACACATTCGTCAAGAATCGTAAGGTACAACAGTTAATAATAGTCATAAGGTGCAATAAGCGATCAAATCATACTAGGAAACAGTCGATATAAATCGTAAGGATAGTGGGAGGGGATGGGTGATGAGGAGGAGATTGATAGATTCAATTTGATTTTGATCCCACCTTTATTATTATTATTTATGAATAACTCAAGGCAGCAAACATACCTTCTGTGTTCCCACATCAACAACCCTGTGAGGTGGGTTGGGCTGAGAGAGAGGGACTGGCTCAAAGTCACCCAGCATGTTTTTCATGCCAAAGGACTATAACTCACAGTCGCCTAGGGTCAGTGCCTTAAAAGGAATCTGCAGTGGTACAGCCTCTACATTTCTCTTGTTCTTCAAGCTTGGAAGACGTCAGCTTTCTGCCATTGGACAATAACCTGGGTGCCAGGCAAACTGAATATTATAACAGGAAAAGGCACATGAAGTAGTACATTTAGTCCTCGACTTACGGCCACAACTGAGCCCAAAGTTTCGGTTGTTAAGGGAGGTATTTGTGAAGTGAGTTTGCCCCACTTTACGTTTTTTCTTACCACAGCTGTTCATCACAGCTGTACAGGTAGTCCTCAACATACAACCACTCCTTTAGTGACCTTTCAAAGAAAGTTACAATAGCATTGAAAAAAAATGTTTTTCACCCTTAACGACCATCGCAGCAACCCCATGATCGAAATTCAGACCCTTGGCAACTGGTTCCTGTTTGTGACGGTTGCACAGGTCACGGGATCGCCTTTCTGGCAGGCAAGCGTCCATGGGGAAGCCAGATTCACTTCACGACGGCCGTGTGTCAGGGTTCCAAGTGACGTACCCATAGCAAACAAAACTCCGAGGCAGGTAGATTCTTCAAAGGAATATTGCCTTATTGGGTATATCATATTGGCACAGACCTGGTGAAAACTGAGGGAAACTTCAGAGTTGGTTTTCACCAAGTCTGTGCCAATATGATATATGTTTGTGGAAAGGGAAAAAACTTTTACTTTTGTTTAGGTGAAAACCTCACGTGGGAACCTTCAGAGTCGGTTTTCATCTTATTAAAAGTAAAAGGGTTTTCCCTTTCCCCAAACAATCAGTCACAAGGTCCAATCGAGGTGCTCTCTGGTTGCTGGGTAACATCACTCTTCCTCTCTCCGACCAGGTGTGCAAATGTCCTTGGTTCCCAAGAGAAAGTATTTTGTTTTGGCTACAAATCTTTATTCCTACCTCTCTAGCCCTCGGCTCCAGTGTAGCAATACTGAAGCGACAAAATGGCTTCAGTCGGGTCAGCTTCAGGGTTGACACAGTAATTCACTTCATGACCGTGGCAAGTAGGGTCATTAAACAGGACAAAACTCGACTGTCTTAGCAAGAGAAATCTTGGACTCAGTTGTGGCCCTAAGCCAAGGACTACCTGCAGTAATTTCTATTAGTCTGTCTGGATCGCTGTCTTGACTAGCGATTTTGAGAAATATGTTAAATGTCTGTTTCATAGGATAGAGGTTGATCTGAATTTGACTTCTGGGCAAGGCCGGTCTCTCTTGAGCATGGAATCAGTCCCCGGGGAAAATGTCGTCTCCTTGCTTGTAGCACAAAGTTGATGCTGCCATCTGTTGACTTAATTCTAAAACTGGCAGAGTCCCTGGAGTTTATCTTTTCAAAGGCAAAGCCACTTAAGCACATTACGACAATTGTAGGCAGCCTTGCCAGCTTCTTCAAGAGGCCCAGCAATGACTCTTGCCATGTCTCAAGAGCCACTTCCATGGGATATCTTTCTAGGGCACCTCTTTAGTTCCTCTCCTGGAAGCAGGTGCTCAAACCCTAACTGTCTGAACGGTTGGCTCTGGGTATGGATTTTGCCTCTTGACAGTTACGTCCATACGGCTTGGAAAAAAGTAAATGTTTGCAGAGCATTGTCCACAACAAAAGGAGTGGGGAAAACTGACCTTTTATGGTAAACATTGCGGGGGGGTGGATTAAAAGCTGCCCTTCGATAATGCTATATAAAAGGAGGCCTGATGGCAAATTTATTTATTTGTTTATATGTCTATGGAGATTCTCAATCATCCAGGTCATGGTTGTCCCCAAAGGTGCTTTGTTCAAGAAGTGACTGGACTTTCTGGTTTTTCTTTGAAGACATTTCACTTCTTGTCCATCGTTATTTATGTATACCTCTGTTATTATTTTTTTCAAATAGCTCAAAGTGGCAGAAACATTCATCTTCCTCCCACAACAATAATCCTGTGAGGTGGATTTGGGCTGGGAGAGAGGGCCCAAAGTCAGCCAGTTGATTTTCATGACGAAAGCAAGACTTGCCTCATTTTGTAGCCTGATGCCTCTTAACTGCTCAGCCCAACTGGCACATAGAGGCAGTTCTCAACTTAATGGAGCCTGCCGATTACGGTCGTGAGTCCATATAGTTAACATTTCATTGTGTGTCACTCAAGAGTCGCTTTCTGAGGGAGACCGGCAGTTCAGAAAGGTGAAAAATAATCAATAAATCGTGATAGTTGTAAAAGAGGTTACCCATGTGATCAACCTGATTTTTATCACCGTTTTGTTTTTGCAGGAGTCATTAAGTGAATTCTCTGGTCGTTAAGTGAACCAGTTGTCCACTATAGGGCATTTTTTGCCCAAAACTGAAGGATGCTTTTTGACAAAAACGTTGCTACTTGCAATCATGGGACTGCAGGACACTAGAAACGTCCATAAATGTGGGTCGGTTGCCAGGTGCCCAGAATGCAGTTCACATGACTGGGGTGGTTCTTGGATTTTGGAATTAGGTTGTAAGTACCTTTGGGGAGGAATCTGATGTAATTTTCACCATAAGTCAGGGGACTACCAGTATAACACACCTAAGCATTGAATTTCCCTGTTTTAACTGTCTTACTTAGAATAACAGAGTTGGAAGGGGCCTTGTAGGTCATCTAGTCCAACCCCTCCTGCCCAAGCAGGAGACCCTACACCATTTCCGACAGATGGCAGTCCAATCTCTTCTTAAAAGCCTCCAGTGGTGGAACACCCACAACTTCTGGTGGCAAGCTGTTCCACTGGTTAATTGTCCTCACTGTTTCTCCTTAATTCCAGGTTGTTTCTCTCCTTGATTAACTTCCATCCATGGTTTCTTGTAGTCAGATTAACAGAGTTGGAAGGGACCTTGTAGGTCATCTGTTCCAACTGCCTCACACCCAGTGAGGAGACCCTACACCATTTCTGACACAGGGCAGTCCAGTCTCTTCTTGAAAGCCTCCACGGATGAAGCTCCCACAACTTCCCAAAGGAACTTCTGTGTTCCATGGGTTGATTGTTCTCCCTGTCAGAAAATTTCTCCTTTATTTCCAGATTGAATCTTTCCTTGATCATTTTCCATCCATTATTCCTTGTCTGGCCTTCCGGTGCCTTGGAAAATAGCATGTACTTCTCCCTCCTCTGTCATTTCTCTTTTTTTTTTTTTTTGCTTCATTTTAAGCTACTCATGACAAGGACCCCACCTTTTGTACCATTGGAATTGCCATATTAAAGCCTCTACAGCAGGGGTGTCCAACCTTGGCAAAGCTGGCTGAGGAATTCTGGGAGTTGGAGTCCACAAGTCTTAAAGTTGCCAAGGTTGGACACCCCTGCTCTACAGCATGTACATAATGAAAATGAGATAACCCTTCAGTAATGCTGGAGGAGGAGGAGGAGGTTTTCTGTGATTAAACCAATTTTGTCCCAGAAATAGGATGGGCCTGCATCCTCCTTTCATCGCGTCTTCCTACCGGGTCTTGAACGTTCTCTTCACCTCGCTAAATTCAGCTGGTGGCTCGTGTATTCGTCTTGCATCCCAGCAGGTCAAGGTGATGCAAGTAATACTCCCTCATCCCTCTGGCTCTCCTAGCAACCGTCCTGTGAGATTGATCGCAGCTGACAGTTAACTGAGGCCGGTGGTCATGTGAGGACACGAACATGAGCCTCCCTGGTCCCCTTTCAGCCTGGCAGTGGCATCAGCACAGAAGCCGCTGTTGGGATTTGTTACAGCATTCTTCCCTTTCAGGACAGAATCTTTTCCATGTGTTCTGCAAAGACTGTAACTTCCTGTGGTATAAGAACAGTCGATGTGATACATAGGTTTACGGAGTGTCATGATGATGATGATATCCAGGGGTGGGATTCAACTGTGTAACAACCAGTTCGGTGAGCGTGCGTGCGCCAAATGCATGCTTCGCCCGTGCGTAGCATTTACAACTCACCTGCTGCTGCAAGCCCCGGGTGTAAAACGGCAGACACGCGGCAATCTGCTGTGCTTCGCGAATCAGCTGAGCTGGAAAACCTGGAGATAAAGCACAGACTAGAGATGGGGCGGGCAGGCCCAACAGCTGATCGTCGGAGAGAATTGATTCGCTCACAGCTGGTCTTCGGAGCTACCCGTTTGCCCGAACCAGCCCAAACCAGTAGAATCCCACCCGTGATGGTATCAGACCAGTCATATCTGATTCTTCGTGATTCTAACAGTTTTAACACATAACCAGAGTTGGAAGGGATCTTGTAGGTCATCTAGTCCAACTCCCCGCCCAAGCAGGAGACCCTACACCATTTCTGACCGATGGCAGTCCAGTCTCTTCTTGAAGGTCTCAAGTGATGGTGCTTCCACAACTTCTGAGGGCTTCTGTTCCATGGGTTGATTGTTCTCACTGTCAGAAAGTTTCTCCTTTATTTCCGGGTTGAATCTCTCCTTGTTGAGTTTCCATCCATCATTCCTTGTCTGGCCTTTGGGTGCCTTGGAAAATAGCTTGACCCCTTCCCTCCTCTCTATGGCAGCCCCTCAAATATTGGAAGACTGCTCTCCTGTCTCCCCTGGTCCTTCTCTTCCCTAGACTAGCCAGGCCCAGTTCCTGTAACTGTTCTTCATATGTTTTAGTCTCCAGTCTCCTCATCATCCTGGTTGCTCTTCTGTGTACTCTTTCTAAAGTCTCAACATCTTTCTACAGACCAGGTCTGTTCCGATCTTGCTGCTTTGATTTTTTTCCATGTTCTGGCTGATGTTTCCAGGCCACAGTGTTCTTCGTAGGCCTGGTTTCCTTTTACCGCTAATTCTTCCTAACATCATTGCTTTCTCCAGTGAATAAGGTGCCTTAGCCAAGCCAGATATTGTTTCAAGGAACCCAGGTGTAATACATTCTGTTAAGAAGGAAGGTACCTTCGAGTTACAAAAAATATACTCAGAATTTTCAGGAAAGCCTTACTTTTGTGTGATGGGCAGCTAGATAAATTTGATAATTAAATAGATTTTTAAAAAAATGGGAATCTGCTTCGTTAGTCTTCCCGAACTATAGCTGATTAAAGCGGATGGAGGATGGTTGACAATGAAGGGTGTTTTAACATTTTGCTTCCTGACTCTGAACCAGAGCTGCTGAGAATCGTCTTTGGCTCTGTCAATCAACTTTCCTATATAATTCGTTATTAAGAGGTTTGGTTGAGGCCATGTGGAATTGTGTCTTCTCTAGCAATGCCCCATTCGCAGGACGCTCCTTGAGGGGGTAGTAGCCTGTCCTTTCTTCGTCTAATTTCAGGGAAGCTGTTGAAATGTTACATGCCTTGTATCTTTCAAGTGACGTTAAGATATTCTTTGTGCCCTTTTTTAAACTTAAGTCTGGTTTCTTATTATTCATTTGGTTGAGTGAGATGTTTTCTAATTCTAAAATTTAAGATAATGCAGGGTGCTGCTGGCCTAGAAACCAGGAGACTGGGAATTCTAGTCCCATCTTAACCCTGAAAGCAGGCTGGCTGACTTGGACACCAGAAGACGGTGAGGTATTAGTGCCGCCTTAGGCAAAAAAGCAGAAAATAGTGAGTTCTAGTACTGTGTTAGGCATGAAACCTGGCTGGGTGACTTTGAGCCAATCACCAGGAGATGGTGAATTCTAGTACCGTCTTAGGCATGAAAGCCAGCTGGATGACTTTCGATCAGTCACCAGGGGATAGTGAGTTCTAGTACCGCGTTAGACATGAAACCTGGCTGGATGACTTTGGGCCAATCACTAGAAGGGGGTGAGTTGTCGTTTCACCTTAGCACAAAAGATAACTGGGTGACTTTGGGCCAGTCCCTTTCTCTCAGCCCAAGTCACCTCACAGATTGGTTGCTGCAGGGACAATAGGAGGAGGAAGGAGTATTTACGTTCTCCACCTTGAGTTATCTATAAAGTGATAAAGGCTGGATAAACATCCGGTTAATAAATAAGCATAATTACCTTTCCACTGGTTTTAGGATGGCGGTTCCCTGGATCAGGTTTTGAAAGAAGCCAAGAGGATTCCTGAAGAAATTTTGGGCAAAGTCAGTATAGCAGTGAGTATGCAGCGGCCTCCTTTTAATTCCCCCAAACAAGGTTTTACTAGATACAGAGTGTCATATGTATCCTCCTATAAGCATTTGGGCATCGGATTATCCCTTCAGAGATGGCCAGCCTCTGTTCTGTCGCACACTTGTATGAGTCTTTTATTTTTTAGTTTCCCATTTATAAAATGGGGGTCATGATTGCTTCCATCCCTCAAATCCTGATTTTTATCTCCTCTCCTCCCTCCCCCTTCTCTCCCCTTTCCTTTCTCCCCTTTCCTTTTTCCCTTCCCTTTTTCCTCTCCTCTCCTTTTAGGTTCTGCGAGGATTGGCTTATTTACGAGAGAAGCACCAAATTATGCACCGAGGTGAGCATTGCTTGAAATAGGAAGAGGAGTCCGCATATGTAAGTGAACTGGGGTTGTATAGATCTGCTGGACATCTTTCTCATTCCAAGGCTTAATTCTACACATGGTTTAACCAGGAGCATTACCTAGGGGCAGAGGCAATTATCCAGTGCCTTATATTACATTACTTTTTAAATATCTACATCTATATCTATCTATCTATCTATCTATCTATCTATCTATCTATCTATCTATCTATCT